GGATCGATTAGCCAAACTTTAATACTATTGAACAAAATCAGCTAATCTCAAAGTTCGACATCCTGGCATCGCATTTCCATGTTTCATTATTTTTGTAGTAAATCCAAATCCGATAGAATTAAATCCCATTTTTCCGCTCCAGAAGTACGAGGAGATTCGAGGCTAGAGGAGGGCCTAATTACAAAAGCTATACTGAAAAGCAAATTCATAGTTTTACAAAATTCAGAGGAAATAAACGAAATTTCGTTTCCAAGAAAAACAGGGAAATGTTTGAGGGAAATGTTTCAAGGGCGCGTTTTATTGACCCTTAAGCTCTATTATATTACTTGTGTGCATACGAAGAAACGTACGTAAAAAATGAAGCAAATCAGTGTCTCCAGTGAGACGCCTGGATCTTCAACTCGGGTAAAAACGGCTTTATTAAGCCAGCATTTATTCTTGACAAACGAATTTATTAGGGATCACGGTAATCATCACATGACAGTAGGCCATTTCGCAGTTACATCTAAAGAGAACTGAGCTTAGTCTAGGCTCAGTCTCCAGCCGTCGGGATTTCGTGCGCCCGCGATACTCTCTTCCTTGACGGCTGGGCGCATGGGGTTCGAAACGTGTCGCGCATGTCCGTGACATTTTTGTGTAATTAGCATATTATGACGTAACGGAAGTGAATTTTTCAGTCAACGGAAGTGAAATATCTGACAACAGCCGTAAAGGTTTTGCTACAAGTTGGGAAATTATGTGAAATGAAAACTTCGCGAAGTAGCGATATAATGTAATAGTTAGCGCTTTAAAAAAGAGAAAGGAATGGAAATTACCCCAAGTAAAACATGTGTAGGGTTTAATAATCCAAATGGATGTATTATCTGCCAGAAAAACGAGCAAAATACACTAGTGGCGCTGTTTGAAAAATAAGAGATTTGCCCGAGMCAGTATAGGAAGAATAACAAGGACATCTTTTCCAAGAACAATCTCTTTAAGAAMCTTTTGCTGTATTTCTCTAAATTCGTCCAAGCTAAACGACTTCAGAGCCTTCAAACAAGCACTTTCAAAGAGAATCTCAAACGACGAATTGTACGCCATTTTGTTACACTGCTGCCTGCTAATTTATTAATGATATGCCCCTGAAAATATCGGGGGCCACTCGCTGATTGGTCAAGACTGACAATAGCGAACCCCATGCGCCCAGCCGTCAGGGGAGAGAGTATCGCGGGCGCACGAAATCCCGACGGCTGGAGACTGAGCCTAAGCTTAGTCGAGCATCATGTTTACTGCCGCTCACAAATTAATAGCAAGAATGCCAAAGTGTCGAGTCAAGTCAAAATTATGGCTGTTGTCATCAACAAAAAATATTTTCTTGACATAGTAAAAAGATAAACAAGCTCAAAAAGGACAACCTTTGGTTGTTGCTCAATTCTGCCTCGGCTTTGATGCAAAACCACAGGCTCCTAGCGCAACTTGTTTTCTAACCAAGACAATGCCTATCACGTGGATTTTGGCATTATTGGCATTTATGTCATTATCCCAAGCAAACTTGTTAAGACAAGGATTAATAAGATGGACATGAAATCATGAACAAACACACGAAATACTCTAAAATGTTTTTTTGACTTTGCCCTGGACCTCCATTAATACATTGCGGTTTATGATCGTAGAGTTTTGGTATTTAGACTTAATATTAGCTGGAATTTTTTCTCCTGTTCTTGATCNTTTACTGAAAAACGATTTCATAGTTTTACAAAATTCAGAGGAAATGAACGAAATTTCGTTTCCAAGAAAAACAGGGAAATGTTTGAGGGAAATGTTTCAAGGGCGCGTTTTATTGACCCTTAAGCTCTATTGTATTACTTGTGTGCATACGAAGAAACGTACGTAAAAAATTGAAGCAAATCAGTGTCTCTTGTGGGTAAAAACGGCTTTATTAAGCCAGCATTTATTCGTGACAAAATTCATTAGGGATCACAGTAATCACCACATGACAGTAGGCCATTTCGCAGTTACATCTAAAGAGAACTGAGCTTAGTCGAGCATATATCATGTTTACTACCGCTCACAAATTAATAGCAAGAATGCCAAAATCTCCAACAAATTATTTTTGTAACATTGCAAAAATTAAAAAAATCAAAGTTCTGTCTCGCTTTAAAGCAAAAACTACCAGGTTTCTAGAGCTACTTGTTTTAACCGCGAAAAGGACTATGGGGGAGACAATTCTTCGATCTATCCTAATTCTGTCACCCCTCCGGAGCTACCCACAATTTATATCGCAGCTGTTCTTGGGTTTTATAGAGCTTCATGGGTATTTTGAATTTAAATGTCAAATCAGCCAATCATGTGTCTTAAAATCACGGCCTTCGATGAGAGAGAAGGATCTGGGTACCACAATGAGAGAACAATGTAAGATCGAACGGTATCATGGGAAGACCAAAGGGCTGAAGTTCCTGCACATTGTTCGGCACCAAATAACTATGGACTTCTCTATGAAACACTTTTAAAACCATAACATCATCCTAGTGGATCTAATATCAAAAGATGTTTTGTGCCAAGAGCTCATGGACATTTTCAAAGTTAAGACTAAATCTGCAGTCCTCAAATGAACAAGAGTGTCGAGTCAAGTCAAAATTATGGCTGTTGTCATCAACAAAATATTTTCTTGACATAGTAAAAAGATAAACAAGCTCAAAAAGGACAACCTTTGGTTGTTGCTCAATTCTGCCTCGCTTTGATGCAAAACCACAGGCTCCTAGCGCAACTTGTTTTCTAACCAAGACAATGCCTATCACGTGGATTTTGGCATTATTGGCTTTTATGTCATTATCCCAAGCAATTAATAAGATGGACATGAAATCATGAACAAACACACGAAATACTCTAAAATGTTTTTTTGACTTTGCCCTGGACGTCCATTAATACA